GACCTATCGACAAACTCTGGGCATGACTGCATCTATTTCCACCGGTATAATTAGGATGATAATAATGTTTATGGTAACTGCTATAGACATTCAACGTATAATTAGGCATAACATTCTCCAAATAACTTTTAATGTCCGCCGAAAATAACTCCAATATTTTGTATCCACTACTCTCGTACGGTTTCAATCGTTCTCTAATCTTTTCGATATATGGAGATACACACATCATTCGATCAGTAGGCAGCGTTTCATGGTGAAGTGGCGTAGCGTAAAATGTGATGCTAATGGACTCGTGAAAATTCCAGCTAGTTTCTATCATTGAAAATTTAATGGCTTGCACAAAATCGTCAACTATTTCCGCGTATTGTGCGATCGTGGGCAAAGAAGATCTGGGAGCGGGGGTATGAATATCTGGTTGCGATGGAGGCAAGGGAATTTGAAAGAAATCCATCTCGTCCAAAAGTTCTTGTCGAGTTATTAATGAATTGTCTGGAAAAGTTATTTTACCGGTGCGATAGTATTGGATTATATAACGAAATATTTGTGAATCTCGATCGAAAAAGTATTCGTTATTATTTACGGGTCGGAGCAAATCATTGTTGCGTTCATGGAACATTGTACCCAAAAGAGTCTCGGGATAAGCGGTAAGAGTTGAACGATAGGTCTCATACTATGAAAACATTAAATTATGATAAACAAGCAAGAGTTTAAACAAAATTGATCAAATTTTTGATCGAACGTTGTCTATGGACTACAGATTAAAAAATTTTCACCTTAACACCTCCAATGTTCAAAACTATTCTTTCATCTTGAACTTTGTTGTCCTCCATCTGTTTTTTGTTAGTTACCTCGTCCATTAATTTCTTATTTCTTATTTTTTTTTTAAAAAGATTCCTTGTGCTAATAAAATAAAGATAAATGTGTACATTTTATGGATATTACTATTTCATCAGTTGATGAGCTAAACTTGATTTCTTAATTTACGATGGTTCAGAAAGGAATAAGTGACTTATCTATGATTTTTGACTTATTTTATTGGTTACAAATGCTGACAATTGGTAAATCTTACACACATAACCGTCCCACTTTGAATTTACTGGATATAGATGTGTACTCGCATCGATGATCGATACGGTGCAGATTTTATAATTTGCTAAATATGGTTTTTAATTGGATTCTGGATTTGGATGACATATTGATGTAAATACGAAATAAATCATTAAATTAAACATCATCCATTACTTAAATAATTTGGTAGGGTCAAAACGATTTGCGTATCTATTAAAAAAATTATGTGATTAAAATCGTTAACTTATCATAAATATAATAATAATTTAAATATTACTATAAATAATATTTGATAGACTATCCCATACTGTATATTTAATAGATGTTTTAATATTAAAAATTAATTATAACTCAAATAATCAAGAAAAAATAAAACACAAATTCTACGATCGTTATTGTCAATTTTTATTAATTCTTATAAAAAAAGGATATTGTTACAAGTCTTTTAAAAATCAGATAGTCAATTAAATATTTATAAAAAAACTTGATTATTTTATTTATACAATCTGTATTTTTTTATACATTTTTTATACTTGATTTATTTATATTATTTATATTTTAATTTATTTATAATGATAAAATTTTGAAAAGACAATATTGCAAATAAATAAATATATATATATATAGTATATATTAAATAAACAATATATTAATATATAAAAATCCATTAATCTGTAAAAAATTTATTTTTAAATAATCATGGATTAATAAACAATTTGATAAACCAAGAGTATACTTTCTTTGGAAGTGAAAAAAATAATTCAAAATCTGAGCTACAAGATAAAAAAGTTTTAATTAAAAAAATAATTTTTTGAATAAAAGATAAAATATTTTTTGTTGTATTTACTTTATTAAAATAAAATTCAATAAGTTTTATTAAAAATTTTTTTGTTTATTTTTATATATTATCTTATTATATAACAATATTATTTTAATATTATATATAATATTAAACAATTATTATAAAAACAGTATTTTATATTTTTAAAATTCATAGTTTTTATTTAATTTTATATATATTTAATAAACTAAAATCAATTTATTTTTTAAATACACTTATTTTTATATAATTTTTTTTTAAAAGTAAATATATATAAATATAGATCTTTATTAATAAACATTATATCTAAATAAATATTAATCATCTTCTATATATAATTATATATAGAATTAATACTGCCTATTGACTATTTCTAGTAATAACTTACAATTCATTTTTTTTGTTAACTCAACTATATGAACTTTATATTATTTTAATAGATTCATATATCAGATAAAACAAATTTAAGAGATAAGAAATCCTACTATCAGTTTAAATCCACCTTTCTACTAAGTTCAGATTTAACAACCTTGTAAATACTTATGATCAGAGAATATATACCTTGCTAAATTAATTAGAACATTTGAATAATCTATTCAATACTTTTCACTTGGAATTTAAAAGAAGGTATTATACTCTTTGTTATTATCTGCAGCTTCAAATTTCTCTTTTCATCAGGTTTTCTTCTTTTAAACAAATATCAAATTAAAATAGTTCTAGACTAAAGTATTTTTTTATACTATAAAGTCTATTATATCAAGAGATATAAGTTTTTTGTGAACTTTCTATTAAAGTTAGATTAAAATAAAAGTCTTTTCTTAAATAACCTTTTTTATTTTGATTTGTTTTCAACCCATGATTATCAAAAAGACCAAAGGCCCTATCTTCATATATCCTAACTAAATTTGATTAAGATCTGAATGTTTAGATATAACATTTGTAGAAAATCGATAAACTTACAAATAAAAAATAAATTTTTATATATTTTATCTTTTGTAAATATTGAATTAGAAACATGTATTGGAAACTAAAAAATACTATCCACTGTATTATTAACTCACTAATCCAGTATTAATTAAATTTATATATTATAACTTGATTAATAGTACTCTTTAAATTTTTTTTTTGCTTTTTTTTTTTATTACTCATATTTTTTAAATAAGTTTTTTATTTGCTTTTATCTATAGTTTTAGCTATTCTCTTTTTTCTATAACAAATATTGAATTAAATTAGTTTTTAATTGATTTTTTCTTTTAAATAACATTTATTATATTGTCTTAAAAAAGATTTTAATTTAAAAATTAATTTTTTTATTAATAATAATTTGTTTTAAAATAACTTTATTATTATTATTATTATTATTATTATTATTATTATTGAATCGCAAATGAACATTAAATGTGAAACCTTTATTAAACACATGTTTATCAGTCATTACATTAACAATCTTTATATATGATATATATATAAATTAATTGTAGCCTATTGCAACTTTTATGACTAATACGCATAGTCACCTAGTAGGTGTTTACATGTCAAAAATGTTGAATGGCTAATGCCTATTCAAAATGATGATATAACTGCTGGATTAAAAATTTTTTTGTTAGTAAGATTGTTGTTAATATAAAGAATATTTAGAATATTTTTGAAAATGTTTGCTTCAGAATTATTAGGAGTGTTAGAAGCTGATGATTTCGACTTTTTCCACTTGATACCTGTTAGGAGTGAAGTGGTGGTAGTCGCAGAATGTTCTTTCTATATTTTATGAAGAATTTTAAGGGGGTAATTTGAAATTATCTCTTTTTTCTGAAGGATGTTAAATAGAGAATTGAATTTGCCTGTAGCCAACTTGAGGATTATTTCGCTTGTAAGATTGTTGTAAAAATTTCTTTTGCACTTTCAGATGTTTTATTTTTTGATATATTTTCCAATATTAATTTCTCAAGTTTTTTGCTCTTTAATATTAGAGTGTTTTTACTTTGTGGACAGATAAACAAATTTGATGTGCTTTCTGGTTGAACATCACATCTTGGATATATATCATCCATTATTATTATTATTTTTCTATTACTTTTAACTATTTTAATTATTTTATTTTTCTCAATCCTTTTTCTTTCTAATTGCTTTTTTTTACTTTTCAAGAATCTTTTTTTTTATTACTTTCTTTTTGTTTATTTAAAATTTTATAGTCTATTTTAACTATTTATACTATTTTAAACTATTTATATTTTTTTATTATTATAATTATACTTTTGATTATTAATTAATTAAACATATATTTAAAAATTATATTTCACTGTTTAATCCATAAATATTATATTAGCAAAAAAAACAATATATACCATATACTATATATAAGTAATTATTTTTAAGAATAAACCATAAATTTTTTTGATTTTAAAATAATAATTACAAAATTATAATAATTATTAAATTATAAAATACAGTATATTAAAAATTGCAATAAAATATTTATTTATTTAAAATTTATATAAAAATAAAAAATAAAATTATAAAAATATCAATTAATATAAAGTAAAACTTGCATAGAAGAAAAATTATCAAATTTAAAGCCATATATAACTAACTATATAACTATTACCTATATTTTAGGTTTTATTTTATATTATAATATTATATTTCTATAAAAATTAAAAAATTAAATATATTATTTACTCTAATAATTAATTTTTATTTATTTCTACTTTTTATTATTATTATTTTTTTTTTAAGTAGGTAAACACCATTTCTTTATTTATTTGTATATAACAAGATATACATTATGGAAAGAAACAACATCTCTTACGTACAACTTGCAGTGAGTTAAATGCTAGCTTGCCTACAGTAATCACCTAACTTCTATTAGAAAAGACATTTTAAACTAGTGTACTAAATAAGTGATGCCGAGCAGCTATGGATACCTACTCAGAATTTTGTGAAATAATGTTATGGTAATTAGAAATGAGATTATATATACATTTTGAATAATTAAGTTTGCTTTGGATGAATGTTTCCATAACAAGAGTTGGGATGTCGATTATGATACTGTCAGGAGCTGAGATTGAGGTATTGTCGCTGGAGGGTGAACTATTGTTGGTAATATTATTGGAAGGAGTATTGACAGAATTGGCGATTATATTATTGTTATTGGTGGCATTATTGTTATTACTGCTTTTTCTTTTTTTAAGATTTTTGTCCCATTTGATACCAGTATTGGGTGCGGTATTTGCTGTACTACATTGGGGCTTCCAAATGTGATTGTAGGAAGATATAAGAGCTTCAGTAGATGCTCGGATCCACTTGTGTATATCAGATATAGAGAAAATGCTGGTTGTAATTCCACATGTCTACTTTTTATTATTTTATTAATAATAATAATAATATTATTATTATTTTATGTATATACAGTCAAAGTTAATATAATGGACCATTCCATTCTGACTGTTCAGTTTAATATATTGATGAATCTGATTAATCAAAATTTTTTGTTATACCAGACATTATTATGAAAAAAAAAAAATCCATTATATTAATCCAAATTACCAGAGATTTATTAAATCATAATAATCAAAAATTAATCAAAAATTGATTGATATTAGTTTGTTTTTTTTTGGTTATATGTAAAGATGGGTCCCTAAAGTATTTAGCATATAAAATTTACACCCCTTTACGTCCACGTCCCCTAGAGGACATAATTCCTAGCTCTTTACTTCAATAGGGACATAATTCCAGAAATTATTTGTATAGATGTTTAAAACTATAAAGAACCTTTGTAGATGGTTTTTTTTTATTCCTTAATATAGAAATAAAAATTTTTAATAGTAAGGGACATTTGAATTATGTCCTCACAAATAATTTAGGGACCCATCTTTAGTTATATGTTGGATAACAAATTTCTTTTGTAACTTAATCAAATTATAATAAAAATTTGTATCAACATCCCATTGAGATTGCTTAATGAATTTGATAAGAGCTTCAATACTATCCAATGCTTCATTGAAAGAAATTTTATCTTCACTTTCTTCTTCATCATTATTCTCTAATCCTTTTCCAAGTACCATATCCACAATTTCTCTTATACTGATTTCCTCTTGCTCAATATTATCATCAATAGATATAAATTTGTATACAGAAAATGGTTCTGTAATAGGAAACTGTTGAATTAGTTGATCTAATTCATCTACTAGTCTTTGTGATTCAGTTTCTCTTAAGTCAACAACCTCGACTTCTTCATCAACGGCTGGCAATTCAAATAAAAAGGAAGATGAAAGAATATCAGACCATATCCAACTTTGCTTGATCATTTCTTCTGTGACCATATTCCATATATGATTGATATATAAAATGGTATCATGGATTGAAATCTTTGAAAGCTCATCTTTTTGATTAGTTAATTTCTCATAGGCAGCAATTTTTTCAGAATACAAAATCTTTTTGTATTGTACCTTAATTAATAAGTCATATTAATAAAAGTAATAATAAATATAATAATTAAATTATCTAATCTTTAAACTATACAATATTC